CTACTTACCTTGTACTGCCAATTCAACTTCTGCATGTCTCCCTTTGTTTTAAGAGAGGACATTCCCAATTCTGCTCTCAATACAGTGTTGCTCGTTGTACTTGAACATCCTAGTATTTTCTTGGCCGCTGCCATCTGCACCGTTTCCAGCTGCTTGACGGCCTTTTCGTTGCCTTCCCATACCTCTCCTGCATACTCTAGCTTAGGTACAATCACATTCAAGAGAATACACCTCTTAATCCTAGTGTCTAGGTGTGGGTCCGTAAGGGGGGTGGGGGGGGGGGGGGGGGGCGCGTTGGCGGGGGGGAGGAGGTACGTTCGTCATCAGCGCGCGACACCACACCTAGAAACCATACCTGCTACTATTAATACACGTTTGTGTGAGCGTTGCGCTGCGCCCGACGGGGATGAAAATATTGAGCAACTGGTGTCGATGGCGGCCGAACCTTTTCTTGCTCTTGCTGGGCGCCTGCAGGTAGACAAGGCTGCAAGGGCAGTCCGCACCGCGACCAAGAACGCCCGGGCCAACGGCCTGGACGACGCGGCGACGTTCTTGAAGGCCGACGTAGCCGCTTTCGCGGGGGCATCGTCGTCCTCGGCGGCGGCGGCGGCGGCGGCGGCGGCGACGGCGGAGGCGGAGGCGGAGGCCTCGGGGCCAGGCGAGAGGAAGGCGTGGGACCTGGTGGTGGTGGACCCGCCGTCCTTCTTGGCCAAGTCGGCGCGGTCCACGGCCAGAGCTGTCAAGGCGTGAGTGTGTGTTCGCGTGTTGTTGTTGGATTGGCGTCGGCCGCCGTGCTAGCCGGCTGACCAAGGAAAAAGTGCGCCAGGTTGATTCTAGCGAGGTAAAGAACGGAAAAGCGTGTGTGTGCGTAGTGCGAAGTCTTGTTGCGGTTGGTGTGTCGTGCCGATTGTTTTTAGCGTGCGTGGCATTGCCGGTGATGGTGGTTCTTCCCGTGTCGTAAAACACTCCTCTTGGACGAAAAAAGCCGTAGTAGTATTGTACTCATCAAAGATGACCGATTTGTGAAGGAAGGTAGGACCATGGCGAGAGCTGTGTGTGTGTGTATGACGCGACGGAGGTACATACAGGGGCCTTGTGCAACGCGACGTGCTCTCTGGGTGAGCGCCTCCTAGACCTTTGTTGTTTTTGTGCGCCACACATTCGGCAAAGACGGTCCGCATACTATATGGTATGGCGGCACTTCTTACCTGGTTGACAACGGACATCACGGATGCCGTGAATCGTTATTGCACCAAATATTGCAACCTGGCTCTTTTGCACTATCCTGTATCCCCGATAAAGGCGACCACCCTCTTTCGACAAGACGCAGTAGCTCCAACCCGCATCCACTCTGTACCGTTTTCCCCGCCTGCCGCATCACGCCCCGCCTCCTCTACGCGCGTCGTCCCTCTATTTATCACACCGACCAGTTTTACACGGCTGGCGGAGAGCGTAGCGCTTGTGGTCCGCCCCTCCGGAGGTATGCTGGTGGTCGTGTACGAGCCCGGCGACGGTGTTTTCGACACACCGGAGGAGATGACGGCGGTGTTCACCTCCGCCGCGTCCGCCGCGGGCGTGAGCTTGTCCCTGTCCTTGTTGGAAGCGCGCTCGGCCCGCCCCCCCGCCACCGGGGGGGAAGAGAACGCCTCCAGCGGTAGCAGCGGCAACGATAGCAAGAGTAGAGGTAGTGCTATTGGCGGTACGAGCAGCAGCAGCAGCGAGAGAAATAGCGCAAAAGACAGAGATCGCAATATTAGCAATAGTGGAACGGGGGTACTCATTGGGCTAGAAAGTTTGTCGCCCTCTCCTCCTCCCGCGGCGCTGCTTGTGGCGAACCAAGGAAGCAGTGGGGGAGCGACCGGCGGCAGCGAGGCTGCCGCAAGCAGCGGGGCGAGGCAGGGCGCCCTGCTTCGTTCTTCTTCGGGCCGTCGAGAGGCCGCCGCCGTCGAAGGCGTGATGGGTGCTGGAGGAGACGAAATCGAGAGCGGCGGGCCGGCCGCCTCGTCGCCGCCCCCGTGGTTCGCGTTGTATGTCTGCTCCAGAGCACCGCCATCACCGCCGCCACCTGCCGATGACCGTACTCCGTAATATCGTGTAAATACACAGCCTCCCAGCAGTTCAAGCGGTAGTCCAGGCAGGGTCTTCAGCGACCAAAGCTGGGGAGAAGAAGCTTGACGAAGAGTCGTACATGAGACAGGCGTTCCCTCTAGAAAGCACGACGCGGCAAGCACCGTGGGTTTACGAACGGTGGATAGCAGCACCTTTTTTTCCTGTGGACTCGGCTGCAGTGACGAGAGAGCGTTGTTCCAGGGAAGAGTATAGTTTCCCAGAGCCAGGAGAGGTTCTACATCCGTGATGTATTTGCACTTGGAGCCGCTGTCTTTGCTTTCGGGAGTGGGAAGGGGCCGGCTCTTGTAGGGTACGCCCCGGTAGGCACGGCTGACAACGGCCAAGCGTAAGCTGGTACATACACATTGGATGCTTCAACGCGAATTTAGAAGGAGTGGCTGCGTGTTTCATCTCCCTTCAAACCGTTCCCCGGTTTTTATCGGACAGACCGCTGCTCAGAACTTTTGAGAAGGAGCTTGTTGTATAGGAGCACCGTCCCACGGCGGGCAGAGAGTCGCTCCTTGTTCTGAAACAACCCAAGGTGCCCAGCGATGACCAAGACTAGAGTTAAACTACAGGAGCGAGCGCGCTCTCTTTTGTATTGCTCGCGTTCGAGACGTGTCTATCAATCTCATTTCACGATTTTGGCGAAGAGCTCGTGTTTGCCACAGGAACTGTGACCGGCCATGAGGTGGTTCGCCACCTGCGAAGGAAACGGCTTCAATCGCAATGCGTCTTCTTATTTTATTACACCGTCTGTTTTGAGCACGGGGTTGATTGAGCCCCTTCTGTGGAATGGTGTTTGACAGAGGCCGCCGCGTGTTTTTTCGTTCTCGTGTTGAAGAGGAAACGCGTTGCGGGTCGAACCAAAGAACAACGCTCTTCCTGCAAGGGTCACGGCAGACCGGGTCACAGCGGTGACATTCATGTTCTGAAAGCCTTGGCGATTAGATCATGGACCACCCGTCCTCTAGAGGACGGAGGACCGATCATCGATGGCCAACGGTTACTTCACAGCGGTGGTAGCGCGAACAAAATTGAGTCAAGAACACCACAGTCAATGGCTCATCTCCCTCCCGACCTTTCCACAAGTAACTTCCCACGAGGACCCCAAACCGCGACGCTATGGTAGAACCCATGGAAGCAGGAAAGACGGAGCAAGCACCTTGATTAACACCCGGTGACGAAAAGAAAGTACGACCAGGCTTGCGCCCCCACAAACAAAGGCAGAAGGTCTGGCAGGTGTTTCTCCTTCCACAGGAGAAAGCCTAATTCATCTGCTACAAGAGATAAAACAAGTCGGCAAGGGGCGAAAAAAGTCATGCGTGACGAGACAAAAGCAGGGGACGCTCCTTCAAAAGAGGAACGCAGTCGCGCTTCCACCATCGCACAAGCACCACCAGTGGATAAGCGCACCGAACGACGACAACAGCAGCAGCAGCGGTGTGTACACAGAGAAGTCCGCCGCTTCAGCAGTGTCCAACTACGCCCATGTCAAGCCTGCGGCGGCGCCGAGAGCTTCGTCCTCAGCCTCGCCACGTACTTCCGAGCGACGTCATCCCCGACCCCGGTCGCCGCTCGTTCCAGCTCCGACAGCCGCCGGTCCAGCCCCGACCCCGGCGAAACCATCCCTCTCGCCGCCGCCGCCGCCGCTGCCGCCGCCGCCGCCGGTGGTAACGGCATCGCCTCATGATCGCGACCGTGCATGTCCCACCCCGGTCGCCCCCCCCCGCCGTGAGAAGGCGGCGGCGGCGGACGCGGCACCGCTTGCTCCCCGTCCAGCAGCAGCGCCAGCGCCTCCCGGCATGGGACGTAGGCGCAGCACGTGCCGAGGGAGAAGAGAGCTATCCTCCTCGGCGACGGGGAAGGGTCCCGCGCGGCGAGATTCAGGAGGGCCCCGACGCCCCCCCTCCGCGCGAGGTCCCCGCCGAGGGCCCCGCCGTTGCGGACCAGGTTTCCCAGGGCCCCCGCGGCGTTCGCCCGCGTCTTCTCCTCCGGGTCGTCTAGGGCGGCGACAAGCGGCGCCACCGCCGGGGCGAGGCAGGCGTAGAGGGCGTCGCTGTGGAAGGCCGCGTTTCCGACGGCGAAGCACGCGAACTTGCGCGCGGACGGGTCCCGGTCGGCGCAGAGGCCCACCAGGTGGTCTACGATGCTCAGCCCTCCGTCCAGCGGGAGCTCTTCTCCCGCCTGCTGCTGCTGCTGCTGCTGCTCATGCCACCGCTGCCCCCCCCCCTCCCGCTGCTGCTGCTGGCGCTCCCGAAGCTGCGCGTCTCGTGCTCGATGCAACGGCAGCCTTCCTCCCCCCGCCACCATCCCCTTGTCGTTGTGGTTGCCGTCAGGCCTGCTGCCGCCGCCGCCGCCGCCGTACCGCACCTCCTGCAGAGCCGCGTAGAAGAACGCCGAGTGCCGGCAGAGGTTTCCCACTAGGTTGCAGGCCTTGGCGCGGACCGTGGGGTCCCCGTGCGCGAGGAGTCCCCCCAGGCTGGCCACCACGCCGGCGTCGCGGAGGCCCCCGTAGTTGTCCGCGGAGGAGCGGGCCAGCTGGCTGGCGATGACGAGCGCCCCGGTGGCGAGGCCGGCGGAGGCGTCCTCCCGCATGGACCCGGCGGAAACCAGCTCGTCCAGCCCCCCCTCCTCGAGGAACTGCTGGCTGAAGTGCGGCGAGAGGAGAACGAGGCGCGACAGGAGCTCGACGCACGCGCACAGGGCGGCCTCTGTCTGGGCGCCGCTGCCGTCGTCTGTCCACGCGACTCCCTCGCTGGTCTCGCCGCCGTCGCCGCCGCCGCCGCCGTCCCAACCCCCGTTTTTTCGCACCCCTTCTGTCGCTCTCGCCTCCTCGTCCTCCTGTGCACGACGGCCGCTGTCGGTGGTGCCGCCACGGCTCAGCACCCTTGTCGCCCCGAGAAGAGCGGCCACCAACCCGTGAGCGTGCATCGCTTGTTGCACCCCCAAGAGCGCTTCGCGGTTTCCATCGGCGGCCAGCGGGGCTAGCATCGCGCCCACCGCGGCCGTCACGACGGCAGCAACACCCACCTTTCCACCGCCGCCGGCGCCCCCTCCAAGCGGCGGCCACTCTCGAACTGCTCGCAGGTGCCGCTGTTCGAGAACGCTTGCGCACACCATGGCGATGAGACCGCCTTTCCCGCCCCCGCCTTCCGCCCCGAGCAAAAGCACCCCGACATCCTCCACGGTCGGGGCGGCGGCGACGACGCCTTCCGCGTAGCGCAGCGCGCAGGCGAGGCCGGCGGGGGACAGCTCTCCCGAGCCCCCGCGCTCCAGCTGCTCGCGCAGCCGCAGCCACAGCCGCTTGTGAGGAAAGCCTGCCACAGGCCTCGCCGTTGCAGCCGCTGGGTTTCGTGATGGACTGCGGACGGCACGATTCGGAGCCACGGCGACGGACGCCGGCACCGCCGTCACCGTCGTGCCCCCCGCCACTACGTGCGCAAGCAGGCTGGCGGGGGCGTCCAGCAAGCCCCGCAGCGGAGCCCCGAACCAACACCCGTCAAGCCGCGCAACCCCGGCCGCCGTCGCCGCTACTCCCCCCGGGAATCTCGGCGAGCAAGAAGACGCATCCTCGCAGACGTCATCAGGCCGCCGCGTCGACGTCGTCGGCACGACGCCCCCTGCTTGCTGCCCCTCACGGACCCCCTGCAGGATCGCTTCCACCGCCGCGAGGACTCGAGAGGACGACGCGGCCTTGAGTCCCGCGGCCGCCGCCTTCTCGAGCCCGCAAGCAGCGGCGGCGGCGGCGCCGTTCCCGCGGTGGTCACCACCACCGCCGCCGCCGCCGCCGCCTTCGTTGTCGGCAGCGCCGCCACTGCCACGGCCACCACCGTCTCGGCTCCTTCTCGACAAGACGGCGTCGAGGACCGCCACCCCGGCCGACGACACGCGGAGGTCCGTGGGGACGGACTCGCACAGGCAGAACGCCGCCGTTGTCACGCAGCCGAAGACGTGCTCCCCGCTGAGGACCCCGTGCCCCACGAGGGCCTCGAGGAGGAGAAGAGCCGTGCCGACGGAAGCGGAAGAGCGATCTACGGCGGCGGCATGTCCGCTTGTATCACTCGCTCCTGCCGCTGCTTGGCCGCCGCTGGCGACGTCCTCCTCCGCGGGGCAATGGTTGTGCGGCAGCTGTTTTGTTCGAGCAAACTTCGAGCAGGGTCGAAAGTGATGGACGGAGACGTCCCCGCAGGATGGAGGCAACAGGAAGGGGTAGAAGGGGAAGAGGCGACCAAAATCAGATGGTGCGTTGGGTCTGACGGTAGGTATCGATGTTTTTCCGGGATGACAAGAGAAAACTGGTTATCATCTACGCGAGGACAACGACGACGACGACGACGACGACGACCAAGAAAAAAGGCTGCCCGCTTCGCCGTCGACTCACGTAGTGCTCGTGCGTGTACGACTCACACCAGCTACTTGGCGTCACGAACTGCTTCGACAACAGCAGACCAAGCACACGCGCCAACCTCCCGGTACCCACTCTACGTTTCATTACAGCAAGCCCTTGCATTGGCATGCCGGACTGGTGCCGTTACGTGTGCACGTGGCGCTCACATTGGGGCCGGCTCGAGAAGAAGGAGGCAAGCAAAGCCGACCGAGCAGAGCCTGCACGGCCGCCCCTCCGTCGAACGAAACGATGGCCCGCGCCACGCCCGGCGAGGCCCGACAGGCGTGCAGGAGCACGCGCAGCGCGGCCGACCGCATCGTGTCCCCCCTACCGCCACCGTCGTCGTCGCTGCCGCCGCCATCGCCGTCCCTCTCAGACGACCTCCCGCGACCGACGTGCTGGTCGCAAAACGGAGCAGTGGCGGCGGCGGCGGCGGCGGCGGTGGCGGTTTCGTCCCGGTGGTACGCAGCCGAACCCGGCGAGTCCCAGCGCGTCGAGTCCTCGTCCTCGTCCTCGTCCTCGTCCTCCTCCTCGTCCTGCACGTCGCAAATGATGCCGCAGAGCGCCGCGACGGCGTTGGTGGTCGGGGGACCCCGGCGGTCTCGAAACCCACGGTCCGGCCCAGCCTCCTCGCCGAAAAAATCAAGACCGCCGCCGCCGCCGCCGCCGTCTTTTTCTTTTACCGCCGCGAAGCTGGCGTTTTGATCACCATCACCACGACGAGAACCACCGCCGGTGCCCTCGCCTGCGCCACAACCGTTACCGCCGCTCGCAGTGTCCTCCAGCAGCTGCTGCGCCGTCTGCCGCCACACCGAGGAGGCGAGCTCGACAGCCGCCTTCATGTCAACGTCGAGACCCACAGCTGCACCCGATGGTGATGGAGGGTGACTGGAGGCCAGGCGAGATCGCTGCTCCTGCTGCTCCTGCCGCTGCTGGCTAGCAGCTGCCGCCGCCTCCCTGAGGGGCATGGGGCGAATCGGACACCACTGCGGTCCCGTCGGCTGAACGAGGAGCGAGAGCGCGCGCACGGCGGGGGGAGCAAGGGGAAACCGCTGCCGCCGCCGCCGCCGCCGCCGCCGCCCACTGGGGAGAGTCGCAGCAGGGCTGACGATAACAACGTCGCCGACACCGCCTCGTGCTCCCGTGCTGCAAGGCGTGGCCAACGGGGAGTGATGCCGCCTCAGGATACACCGGCAGAGTACCGCCGGGAGGCGGTGCGCCAGGAGCATGCCGGTCGTCTCTGGACCAGCCCGTGAGACGACAGTGGAGAGGCAGTCTATCGCTGCGCGTTGGAGCTGCAGCTTCTGCAGCGGTTCGACGGCAAGGCGAGAGAGCCGGTTTAGCAAGAGGGCGAGGAAACCACGCGGCAAGGGCAAAGGTTGAGCTTGACGATGCCAACGCAGTCCTACACTGGATTGCTAGAACTACTTTTCAGCAACAAACTGGAACGGGGTAAGACGTTCGATTCGAGCGCAAACCCTTCAAACAGCAGAGAGAGAGAAAAACCCGTTCGTTTGAAGTTAAACATCTCCAGACGGATGGCACATACCGGGCGCTCCAGCCTCACACACAAACAGCTGTCACAGCAGCACACGGTTGACCAGGGAAATTCACGCAGTAGCCGCGCATGATAACGCGCTCTCAAAAGCACGACATCCAGGCGGACCTTCGTTGCACGCGTTTTCCTCGTTACCTGCTCAGGCGTTCCTGGATAGGCCGGGCTGGTCTCGGGACGCAGCAGGGAGGTAAGAGTCGAGAGCGTCGTCCACCTTTCGCTTATGCCCACCACGCTAGCGCGCTCCCCGTGACCCCCGCCACGCGCTCCCGCGACCACGGCACCGCCGGCGCCGGCGCCGCCGCACGGACGTTGTCGTCGACGATCGCAATGATCATCACCATCGCCGTCCTCAAGCTTCCCCTCCTGCACCCACCAGGGCATCCGCGCCATGACCCCGAGCAGCCGCACCGCCTCCGCCAGGGCGCACGCCTTCTCCTCCTCCTCCTCCTCCTCCCCCGGCCTACCGCCTACTCGCCGCGGTCCCCGCCCCCCGGCTGCACGAACGTCCCCCTCGAGCAGGGCGTCGCACACGCCCACCACGGGGAGGAGAGCGTGCAGGAAGCGCGCCGCCACTATCGCGGAAGCATCCCTGACCGTCGACGTCGTCTCCTCCGACGGGCTTGCCTGCGGCGGAACCGCGGGACTGTCGTCCTCCTCCAATCGTGACCCGGCAGCGCCGGGCTCCGTCTCCGGTGATGACGACAGCGACAACACCGCAGCCGAGGCGACCCGTTCGGCCGTACGAAGCGCGACGCGGAGGACCGGTAACGGGTCTCCCCCCGCCGCCGCGCACCCGTCTCCGTCACTGCTGCCGCTGCTGCCGTCACGTGTTGTTTCCCCCCCGGACCCGGTCGATCGGGACAGGACGTCCGTGAACGCCGCGAAGAAGCCGCGGGTGCTGCCCACGCGCAGCGCCGCCGCTCGGCCTTCCCAGCCCGCCGGTCCCCCCCCCGCTGTCGCCGCGGCCTCCTGTTCGCTCCACCATGTGCTGCGGTTGTTTGGACGCTTGCCGATCTTCTCTCGTCTAGGGAAACTGTTCGACCGAGAACGCTCATCGTCCTCCTGACCCAAACCCAACCTAGGACTTCCGCCATGGTGCTGATCGCTCTCGTGGGTGCCGTTTGCTCCGCCGAGAGGCGCTACGTCGTCGACCCCGCCACCAGGCGACTCCTCTGCGCCATCAACCCGGCCGATTTCGCACAAAGAAGCCGTGTGGTGGCTCCCGTCTTCGCCGCCGCCGCCGCTGCCACCTCTATCGCTACGCCTGCTGTAGCTGCCGCTGCTGCCGCTGCTGCTACCACCACCCTTCTCCACAAGCGGTGAGATCTTCTGGAACCGCGTGCTTTCCTCTATGCGGTGCGCTTCCCTCCCGTCTGCGGGGCCTCTCCGCCCTCTTGGTGTCTCACCACCGCCGCCGCCGCCACTACCACTGTTGGCGGCCCCCGTAGCGGTTGCTCTAGCCGCTCCGACAATCCCCGGTCCACCACCCCCGTTCAGCACCGAGTCCCCGCGATTCTCCGCCGCCTCCTTTTCTTCGACACCGGCAAGAGGAGACACGCAAGCAGGCACCGGCTGTTCCCGCGCTTCCTGCTGCTGCTGTTGCTGCTCCTGTGTCTGCCCCTGAGTCTGCTCCTGCGCCTGCTGCTCCTGCAAGAAGCGTTCGAGCCTGAACCGCGGCGGCCCTACCCCCCCGCCCAGGGTATAGTGCGCGTCTTCGTTTCGATGCCGCAGCCGGTCCTCCTCAGTCTCCCTCACGAACGGGTGGCGCAGGAGCTCGGGCCAGGAAAGCCGCTGCCTGGGGTCCTTGCGGAGAAGGCCCTGCAGGAAGGACCGCAGGTCGGGCGAGATGTCGGCCGGGTACTGCACGGGGTCCCTGACGATGTGGTTGATGAGGGAGTAGATGGAGTTGGTGTAGAACGGGGGCTGCCCAACCAGAAGCTCGTAGAGGATGACGCCGAGGGACCAAAGGTCGACCGTGAGGTCGTACGGCTGCTCCTTGACCAGCTCGGGCGCCATGTAGAGGGGCGTGCCCTTTATGCTCGTGAGGACGACGGTATTGGAGGACATGGCCCTGGCGAACCCGAAGTCGCAGAGCTTGACGCGCCCGTGCGCGCCCACCAGGATGTTCTGCGGCTTCATGTCCCGGTGGATGACTCGGTTCGAGTGCAGGTAGTGGAGGGCCTGGACCAGCTGCTTGGCGATCTTTTGCACTTGCGCCTCCGGCAGCATGTGGTCGTCCTGCAGGATCTCGAACAGCTCCCCCTTTTTTTTGCGGCCACGTAGATAAGAAGGCGGAGCACGGCACGGCGGTAGAACACGTCACACACATGTATATCCAGAGGGAGAATGAAATCCCAGAGTGTTCAAGAAACACTTTTTATAGGCCGGGTGGTTTTCTCTCTGCTTGAATGCCCTTCGAGGGTAATGTCGCCTGCCGTGCACCCCGTACTTCCAGAGATATTCTGCCCCATGTATCTACACGCATGGCCCTCACTCTCCCGTTGCACCGCTCACATTCTGCCGTCACGCTGCACTCCCAACAAATCTCTGCATTTACACCCCTGTGCTGTCACTGCATTACTCTGTTCTGTCATCAAGCTGCACTACTTTGCTCGCGCCAGCCCATACGATAAAATCAAGAATACCAACAATTTTAAAGAAGAATCTTTTAAGTTTTAGGCCATGCCACCGCCTTTGCCCCCCCCCCCCCCGTGACTGCCATCGGGGTTGGGTTTTCGTCGCTTGGCAACGACGTTGTAAAACAAGCCGCCCCCCCCGGTGTTTGCCATCGGGGTTTGGGTTTTCGTCGCGTGGCAACGACGTTGTAAAACAAGCCCCCCACTCGGTGTTTGCCATCGGGATTGGGTTTTCGTCGCTTGGCAACGACGTTGTAAAACAAGCCAATTCACTTCGTGAACTCGGCAACCAGGTTACCGTCTTTTTTTTTTACCTCTGGTTTTTTTTTTGGCGGTAACCATAATGGTGGTCGAGTAGATCATGTTGTGCGGGGTCGAGAAACCTCACTCCGCGCAACGGGGGATGATCGCACCACGTTGTGTTAAAATGGTCAAGCTTCCTCGAGGCAGTTACACAGTGCTTACAACTGTCTCTGGAAGTGAAAGCACCAGAAAATAAATTAAGTCATACGTAGCTGTCATCCGTACGCAAGGAAGTAAGCACAAGATGCCGAACACCCTTAGCAGGATGCAGCTCACCCTTCATGCGACTCGCCAAATACCTCACGGCGCTTCGCGCTTGGTGATGTGAGAGCCTGGTCCGGTGAGAACCCGGCGTGCTCCGTCCCGGCTTTGTAGGGATGCGAGGTCAATGGTCAAACGACTACGGCATGCACGACTATGAGTACACC